TCAGTTTCGAATTCTCTAATTTCCAGAATGGGATACCGGCGGAAACAAAGGCTTCGCAGAGGTCGAGCTTAAACTGCGACTTCTTTCCGGAAACTCCCAGGAAAGAACCGATCTGCATCAGACTGGTTGAACTTGACTGCTCCTTCTTGTTCAATAGCGACTTATGCTTCGCTCCATTGAGATGCTGCGAAACATGCGATTTTCGCTCGGCGGGAACATCCCGCTCACACACTTTGCACAAGATGACGTGTCTATCGGTCGACAGAACTCCTTCTCCTGAAAGCTTCACGTAAGACCGGAGCTTCGATCCGTGAGATTCCTTGATTTTCGGCTTTTTCACAAATACAGTGCTCGTAAACGAATCGCTCTCAGCTGAACTTCTGTTTACGAGACATTGGACGTCGTCAGTCACCGACAAACGCGTGGTGCACACGCCACACGTTTGAGCAGATAGTGACCAGAGCAAGGTTTGGCCGAAAGCTCATGCATGGCTCTTCCAGGACCCCTTACGAGTCAGAAGTCCCTATGGGAGCGCTAAGAGCGATTGTAACGCTTTATGCAGAATTATGCTTCGAACAACCATAAATGCGTTTATTCCAAAAAACGCCGATTTATGCGTTTCTATGCATCTTATGCATTTTGCATGAGGGTCCGGGCTCTAGTGATGATGATGGGAACCGGCAGCCCCCCATAGTCGGGATCGTTCGAGGGTAGAGGTTCAGGTAGCCTAGTCGCGAAGATTGCAGAAGTACTCGGCCGGTTCCTTCGTATGCGTATTTAATATGCTCGCGGTACCTTGATGCCTCAGGTATCATAGTCATGGGTCACCTCAAGCGGTAATCTGATCTGCCGAGCGCGCTGAGTCGGACCCGCAGAAAGTAACGGATTCTCCGGCAGGACGACCGAAAGGAGACCTCCTTGCTTCAGATGATTTCTTCCCCCATGCGATCGATGAGCGACTACTCTCGACAAGGAGGCCTCGAGGTTAGGGTGATGATATAAGGCGGTGGTAACCTCTAGAGTCGCAACTGATTCGAGCCGACTTATCCGAAGGGGCAATCGGAAATAAGACGTCTTCGGGGCTGGCGATCGCAAGGTGCTACTCGAGTTGTCTCTCCTCGATTCGATGTCGTGATAAGTAGAGCTCGGACTTTCAAGCACTGAAAAAACGAGAAATAAGCAAGCAAATATGCACCAAAAAATGAGAAAATAAGCTCTTTCAAGCGCGGTATATGCTCGAACGATTTATACAAGGTTATGATTTAGCTTAAGCATTACAGTACACAATTAGCACCATCCGTAGGTTTTCGAAAGTAAAACTGTGACGACGATCGTCAAGGGTGTATTTCAACTGAGAAAAACTCCTCTCCACGTCAATAGACGTCAACGGAGCGAATTTGAAGGCGGCAATTCCCCCAGGACTAAAATCGAGGTTACAACTTTCGGGGATATCCCCCCTTAAAACATCCGCAATCGCCTTGACACTACCGTAGTCTGGATTACGACTCAATACCGATTTATACTATTGTCGGAGCCGGTCCCCGATCTGGCCTGGCGTATCTTCGAGTGCGCCTAGAACTCGTTCAAACGTTCCAATGCTCTCGATTAGAGAAGTCTCTTTTTTTCAAGTTTCTCGATGCCAGGTGGTAGGTGACCGAAATGACTTCTGATGAAAGCGAGATCTCGTTTCAGGGACTCGTCCTTCAACAATCCTTGAGCTAGCGCAATGCTCGCGGCCTCAGACGCGTCCATGGACTGGACAACCACCGCGAAAGCCTCGAAATTCTCGGCGTAATAGAAAGCGGCGGTAATCCAGGTTCCCCATCGCGTCAGGATTGGTTGAGGCGGCAGAGGTATCCCGGGTGCCTTCTCGCGAAAAGTTGTTGTCCTTGGAGCTGACTTCAAAAAAAGTTTCTTGCCATTCGAGACGAGCTTGTCTACCTTCGGAAACAGAAGTCTCACTTCTTCTGCCACTCGATGCAATGCATGCGCGGTGCAGGTAAAATGCAGCATTTTCGGGAACATCACTTCGAGAGCCGTGCCTGCTTTTTTCATGTAGGCTGCGCCGTCGGACACAAACAAGAGCACACGGTCGTGCTGGATTTGCTGGAGCCAGAGGAGCGTCAAGGAATTGACGAAGACCTGCGATATTGTAATACCGCTTGTCGTCTCTAGACTTTCGCAGTGCAGAAGAATACTTCGGCTGAATGTCGTCTCCATAGTCCCGACGACAACATGGGCTACAAAACGACCTGTAGCATCCGTCGTTTCATCGACAGACAGCCATATGAATTCCCAGCGACATGGCTTCTGATAGAGTCCAACTTGCTCCTGATATAGTTTTTGTCGCAACGCGGATGAACTCGGCACCTGATGTTTCACGTATTTCCGAAAAACGATCTTAGTTTTTCGTGGTCCAATTTGAAAAGCGGTATGCCACTTGACAAGAAGGCATCACAGAGGTCGAGATGGAATTGCGATTGCTTCCCAGAAGCTAATAGTGTAACGGTAATCTACGTGGACTCCGGGGTCGATTATGGGCTGAAGCTCTAAGATCAGTTCTACGGGACTTACGGGGCGCTCCACTTGGGTTCTTTCTTTGACTGGACTGGGGAGCGGCGGCAGCGGCTCCTCGGGTCTTGGGGCTAGGGTTCTAGGGGGCTGGAAAACGTGAATCAAGGATGACACGGTTAGCTGATTGCACGCGAAGATCGGGAATGGCGGGTTCCCGCCTCCACACTCGTTTTATTCTCCTGCCCTCTCTCCCTTTCCGGAACGTTAGCATTGTTTCCGATTGGCCCACTACAACACCGCTCTCTCGCGCGCCGATTCCAAAGTTCCTACCGCGCCTCGTTACGCATCTTAAGGTTCGCCGCCTTGTCACACATGCGGAAGGGTCTGTCGATTCCGGAGTTCGCCGCCGACCCCGATCCAAGAACAATCCTTGGAACCGTGGTCGCCGGCTCGTCCGGCTCTAGGTACAAGTTTACAATTTAGGATTTCCGCATGCGCACCTGTTACTGGTTTGCCTATGTGTCCGCGCGATCTTTCGATCTTCGTCTTCCCTCCCGTCTCTCGCCTTCTTGAGGTTCCCTTGGAACTCTGTTACAATAGGAACGATTCCATCTGAGAGACGCTCGATGAGTCTGTCTGCTGCTTCTTCTTCTCCACTAACGATTTGTGTCTCACTCCGTTCACGTGTTGTGAAACCGCGAACTTCTTATCGGCCGAGATTTCTCTCTCGCCGACTTTGCAGAACAGAACGCGACCGTCCGTCGAGAGTACTTCACAACCGGAAACTTTCACGAAGGTCTCCATCTTCGACCTCGGCGTTGATTTTTCTTTCGGCATTCTTTCCTTCCGTTCGGAGTTTACGTTCACTTCTCGAAACGAATGTTTTCGTTCGCAGGTGGTGGCAAGCGATCACCGAGCAGTCCGGCTGGTTGTGTTTGATTCGAACGTCGTCAAAGCCGTGCGGTGTGCGGTGTTGAGCATTCTTGGAGTCGCAGGCGCCGAGCCTCCCGGATGCGTGAATGATTGGCAATGGACGAGACATCCGG